CGTTAGTACTCACGAATTTGCCGCAGGTAGGTTTTCACTCCTACGGAATCTACTCAGACATGGCTGAGGTCGACATCATCATTGGTTTAATAAAAGCAATCAAAAACAGTAAAGAAAAGAGATAAAAAAGAAAGCTTCTCTATTGATAAACTCAGAGTTGAACAATCCTCGCTAAAAATCGCATAAAACGGCTGAAGGTAAGGGTTTTTGTAAAAGTCTGAAGGGTGATGTCTAAAAAAAACCTAAATGACAAGTATTTATAGTCTTCAATACTCCATGGTCTCTAGGGTTCCAGAATTGAGGCTGGGAAACGACATCGGCTTCAGAAATGGGCTTTTTAGGTCGGAGATGCCTGGCCGCGGTTGCATGTGTTGCGGCCGTGGTAGATGAAGGCTTGGCCGCGGTCGCGTGGTCCTGGCCGCAGTGGATGGGTTGTTGCCCGCGGTCGCGTGACTTGCTGGCCATCTTTGAGTGTCTCCGGGGCAAATGGAATATCTTGAGATCCAACTGTTGGAATGTCTCCATACCAAGCGCATTTGAAAGCTGGTTGAGTCTTCTATAAGTTGTCCAATTTTGAGGGTGATCAGAAGATGAGAAGGTCTTTGCTCTCTATGAGAGTTCTGATGGTCTGCATTTATCCAAAAGAGTCTTTTTGTTCCAATTTGCGCCTCTTTATCCCAAATTACCTGAAAAGTCTTTTGAAATCCGAAAACATAGAAATCTTTTGAAATCCTTTGAAAATGGAGTGAAAACACCTGCAAAAGATATTAAAGTGATCCATAAAAAATGGTCAAAATCCAGTGTTATCAGAAGCTTTTCCTGGAAAACTGAGATAAAGGTGGTCTGGACCATTCACCATCAAAGAGGTTTGACAATATGGAGCTGTATTGTTGCTGGACACTAAAAAAGGAGAGTTTTGTCAAAGGATAGAGGTTGAAGCCATACCTTACTGGTCCAAATGTCGCAGAGGATGAATCACTCACCTTAAGCGAGCCTCCTCAAGCCTAAATGGCTTTCCAAGTCAAGCTAGCAACTTAAAACAAGTTCTTGGTAGGAGGCAACCCACCGGTAAGAGTATCTAACTTTGTGTCTTTCATTTCTTAGCTACTAACTTTGTTTTTAGGTTTTTGTTTAAAAAAATAAAAAATAAAACAGGCAGAAGGTCCTTCATCGTGGAAGAGATGAAGTGAGGAAGAAGAAGAAGGAGCAACCAACCGGAGCACCCGCTCCATCTGCTGGGTTGGATGCTCGTAGCGTAAAAAAAACGAGGGAACACCCCCTCCCCAGTCGGAGCACCTGTTCCAGGGGGTGCTCCAGACGAAAAAATGACCAAGGAGCAACCCAAGGGAAACCAGAGCAGCACCTTCTCCAGACGAACAAAAACGAGGGAGCATCCAACTCTGTTCCAGAGCACCTGCTCTGCCAGGGTGCTCTACATGTGTGAACCATGTAAGTTTTCTTGGCATTTCTCTAGCTTAGTTTTCACACCGGAGACGGTGAGAAGTAAGTCTGGGGGAGGGTCGTGTCCCTTGTACTTCTTTCTTTTGCTTTCTTACTTTCAATACTTTCTTTGAGTCAGTTTTTAGTTTGTTTCTTTGAGTCATTTTGTTACATAAGTCAATTCAAAACTTGTGGGAACTAGGACCAAATCTATGATGAGTTTAGACAATTTGTGAATTTTGACCATTTTAGTGGCCATTGCTATAGAATCAGTGTAGATCCGACTAATGGAAAATCCAAGGGCTGACCATCGGACTAGAGGCGTCCATGTTTCTGACAGAATCCATTGACCTGAGCTAATTTCTGAGCTTTTCCTTTTACCTCATCGATGTTACTGGTGTTCATAGGGCTTGACTCCTCATTCATACCTGACAAACAAGGACCTGTGTAATGAAAAAATTGGTACTCCTCTCCCTTATTCTAAGCGTTGACTAAAGCTGAAAAGATGAGATGATTTACTTTCAAAGTAAAGTGGTAGGAAAATTTCCTGTGACCTCACTATTTTACTTTAGAGAGAAATGATCACACAAGGATTGGAAGTGAAGGGTAGGAAAGTTTCCTGTGACCCCATTATTCACCTACAACCTTGATTAAAAAAAAACAAAGAGCTTGCAAATGAATAAGTCTGGGGGAGAGGAAGAGTTCCTTTGTGTGTTTTGGTCAGTTTGTCATGGTATAGTATGGGAATGAGTCTAGAAGGTCCTTGGCATTAGTTTAATCAGTGAGACCCAGCGATGATGGGATATGGATAATGTCGTGAAATTATGGATCTAATCTGAGAAGCTGCAATGTCTGTGGAGAATTACATGGAGGTTCGATTTAGATTGATGTTGAAACATGTCGTCTGCATGCTATGGTCGAATTTACGGTCTTCTGAGTTTTTGCGAGTTCCCACCATTGTCTATTCAATTTTTCTGGAACTAGATTTTAGTTTATTTGAGGACAAACAAATGTCTAAGTCCGGGGGAGTTGATAAGTGGCGATTTTGACTCATTCTAACCTGTGTTTACTGATCTTTTTAAGAGTCTTTGGAGTCTTTTTCAGCTTTTTGCAGGTATCTAGGGAGCTTTAGGCGAGGATTGGAGCAGCTGGATCTTTGAGTGCAAAAAGGAGTTGAAGCTGAGAAAAAGGGGCCAATTTACACGCAGTTGGACCATTCTTGGTCGGGAGCACCTGCTCCCGACTAAGCCCTTTCGTGGAGCACCTACTCCAACCGCCTGAAGAAAAATAAGAAAAACAATTTTTACCTAATTCTTGGACGCAGGAAGAGAATAAAAGAACAGAGCCGCCTCAAAAAGAGAATCACGTTTTACAAAACTTCTTTGACGCTTTCTTTTACACTTTTCTAGACTTTTGGAGAGTTTTTGCTTGTAAGATTTGGGAGAAGAATTCCTGCAACACTTGAGAAGAATTCTGAACCCTAGTCATCTTTTCATAGATTTCTAACTCAAGGTCAAACCATCAGAACTTCAACCTCAAATGAAGACCTTCTCACCATAAATTTGATTTCCAGCTTAAATTTTGGAGACTTTAGAGGGACCAGCTAGCTTACCATTACACTTTACTTAAGAAACTAGGAGAAACTAGGAGATACATCCAGTGAATCATGGATCCTGTAAACAGCTGCATCAGATGATGATCTAGGAAAAGATAGATACCTGGCTCTTCTGAAATAGGTAGAGATGTTCTCCTTAGTCTTCTTGCTGTATCTGAAGAAAACTTGAAGACAGCCTTGCTTCCAGATGTCATCAAATCCGAGATAGAGAGGAATGGACTTCACAAATTTATTGAATTTGATCAGTCTCTCATTGGGTATGCTCTTGGTTATTGGTTCTGAGTTGTCGTCAGATGAATTGTCCCCAGGGTTTGGATCTTTAACAAACAAACCATACTCTTCATCTTCTGAGAATTTCTCTTGAAAATCATTGTCGCAAGTGTAAACCATGTTGCAAGATGCATAAGTGTTGGATTCCTCCTTTTCTTTGCTGATATCAGGTGGCACCACTATCTTGATCTTCTCAAATTGCCTGGATGCAAGTGCCTTTAGTTCCTTTTTGTCCTCCAAAACCTTCTCCTTGTTCTTGTCTTTTTTATTTGGAGCTGGGTCTAGTGTGGTCTTATAGAACTTTTTCCTGTCCACATTTAAGAAAACTAAACAGTGATTTGCATGGTCAATAACAGCACCTACAGTGGCTAAGAATGGGCGACCAAATATCAAAGGTCTGTCTTTGTCTTTGTCCATCTCCAAAACTTGAAAATCGGGTGGGATTGTTTTGTTTCCAATGATCAGTGGCAAGTCCTGGATCATTCCTTCTGTTCTCTTTTGAGATGAATCACCAAAGATTATCCGCACTAGAGATGGGACAAATGTACCTATACCAAGTTTCTCAGCAACAGATTTTGACATGACATTCACATTAGCACCAGAATCACATAAACAATCTGAAAATTCAATTCCAAAGATTGAACAGGTGAATGAGAAACGCCCTGGATCCTTAGACTTTTTGAGTCTTTGGTCAGGCAAGCGTTTGGGTACCTTAACCGGAATGACTTGGCTTCTCTCATGCTCGGTTTCAGAGTCCATCATGAGAGGTTTAGGTGTCAAATTTTCCTTAGAGTCTGCGACAGGTTCTTCTTCCAAAACTGTTGTCATAGCATTGCAGAATTTCTTTGGGTTATCTTCCCCTCTTCCTGGTAAAACTCCTGGTTGTCTCTTCATTGAATCTGCAGTTTGACCTATCTGATGTTCCAACTTCTTGACATGGGTCGCAAGAGATTCGAACTTCCCATTCAAGTCATTGTAAATACAATCAATCTTCACCCCCATTTCCCTGAATGACTTCTCATTGCCTTGAGTAGTCTGCATCATCGTTTGTTCAAGCGATTTTACCTGGTTGCTTAGCTGGGAAAGGGTTGCTTCTAATGAGCTGGTCTGTGCTTGTTGAGGATTGAAAGCTGGTCTTTGTTGGAAGTTTCCTCCTCCATAGTTTCCACCTTGAAACTTGTTTTGAAAACTCCTTTGCTGCTGCGGATAAGGCTGATTCTCAGCTCCTTGATTTCTGTATGAGAGATTGTTGAAGTTGGCACCAGAATTCCTGAAGTTGTTGTTGAAAGCTGGACTAAATCGATTATGGTATGCCTGAGCTCCCATAAAATTGATTTCTTCCTCTTGGTACATGCCATCTTCTTCATATCTTCCATCTTCCTCGTTTCCTACAGCAGTATCACAAGCATGTATATTCTTATTTTGAGACTTAAGAAGTTGAATTACCATGCTTTTTAGCTCAGCAATCTCCCTTGATTCATGACTAGTAATAGTCTACTTTGATCTGTCATACTCAGGGTTGTTGTTGTTATTAGCTACAGCTAGATTTTTGATGAGTGCTCTCCCTTGTGGTATGTTTTTTGAACTGGAATCACCATTGCTGGCAGTGTCAAGAGAAAGTTGATACTTCTGCTGAAGTCTTCTGTAGAAGGTGCTTAGCAGGTTTGCTCCAGAGAAACCATGATGAGGGCAATCTCTCTCATACTCCTTGAATCGCTCCCAGGCTTCATTGAATGATTCTATTAGGCCTTGTTGGAAGCTTTGTATCTTGTTCTCAACTGGTTCGATCTTGACTTGGTGTAGAAGTGGTTCAGGAAAGCTGACTTGCATTCTTCCCATGAAGTAATAGAACCAGATGGCATAGATTTCAACCATCTAAAAGCTTTATCACTTAGAGAGAAAAGAAAAAGCTTACACTTCACATAGTCCACAGTTTCTGGAGTTGTTCTCATCATTCCAGAGATTTCTTCAAAAAGATCAATGTGGTCCATTGGATGCTCAGTAGAGATTCCATGGAATTGTTCTGCTTCACCAAAGAGACAATCTGAGGTTTTATCTCATGATTTTCTCTTGGAATAGGAATTTGAATAGCTAATCGATTTTGAAAGTGTTGGTGAGGTGCATCAAAATGGGCAATGAGTCTATTCAGGCTGTCTTGTCGCAGGATTGGCAAGCTGTATTGGTCGATTTGCTTCTCTAACAACTGGTAGAACAATGTTTTCATCATTCCTTCTTCCTTCAGCATCGGCCTGGTCTTGTCTCCTTTGATTATCAGCGGCCTGAGCAGGATTTAGAGGGACTCGGTTTCCCTCTTCATCGAGTTGTGGCTATCCATTTTCTTCATGGGCAGCATCTAGGTCATCACCATGAATTGAATCACGGTCATCATCTCTAATGTGATCCTCCTGATCACTGTTTAAAAGATTTTCCCGATGGGCATTAGGATTGGCCATCTTGAGCATTCTTCGTCTGAGTTCCCTAAGTGCTCTTTCGTGTTTGTCAATCTCGTCTAAGGGCAATACGATTTCGTCAGGATCTCTCCTAGTTTTCATGCACCTGTGAGCAAAGAAAGCAAAGATAAAAAGAGGAGTTAGAAAATCTCCAGCAGAACTCAAAAATCTTGAGGTTTATGATTGAAATTAGATTAAGAAGTCAAGTCAACAGCGACAGATCCCCGGCAACGGCGCCAAAAAGTTGATGTGAGTGCAGTGGGCAACACAAGTTTTACCGTAGACAAGCTGCAAGTGCACAGCAAACACAGTAGTTCTTAGGGATCGAATCCACAGAGATCTGTGTGTTGAGGACTTCTAACTGATGCTAAAAGCAATCGTAAACCTAATCTAATAAAAAGGGATTTTGGTTTGTCACTAAATCTAATTATGTAGAAAATTAAAAAAGCTGGAAATAAAATCGTTTGAAAAGTATATGAAAAACGGCGCTGGGTTCAAGGTTCATCTTTAGGGTTCATGTTCTAAAACACAAGGAATTTAGGCAAGGATTTCTATGACTCTGAAACTAGGATAGACACATGTAAGATTAGCCAACTCTCGTCACCCTAATCATCTAATCACTTGTTCATGTGCAATTAACTCTCGCTCTCATGCCAGAACAAGATCATGCTTTGTAGATCGGAATCCATCTCTGATTACGTATCCTTCGTAGGTAGCTTTCGTATCCTACGACGGGGACGTCCATAAGATCCAGTTCAGGCAACCCAGATACAACACTCTCGTGGCTCGGATTAAACCTAGGATCGGATTCTGGGTGATCAATCCAGGATTACCGCTTTGAGATTTGGATGAATGGGAGAATCATGTTAAAAATCGAAATCTTTTTTTCCTAAAAACCTAGATGTCATTCGAACATGGGGTTCCTTTGGATTATCCTTTCACCCAACAAGGTGACTACTCAGACATAGCTGAGGTAGACATCATCATCGGTTTAGAACTAAGAAGAAGAAAAGTAAAAGAAACAAAGGTGCAGAAAAACTTCACTTACTGAAGACAGAGTGGCGATGGAGAGCTTCTACAAATGCATAAAAATAAAACCTAAAGCTACAAATGAGTTCTCTCTCAAAGAGAAGAAAGAGGCTCTCTTACAAAAGATCTAAAAATGAGTATTTATAGTGTTTCTCCAAGTCTTGGGCGTCTAGGGCTTGTAAAATGGGTGCAGGAAGTGTCTTGGGCCTTAGTTGGGCTCCTGAGGTTCGGACATAGGTCCACCGGGGGTGAAACCTTCTGAGCCGCGGTGGGAAGAAGGCTGGCCGCGGGTGAAAGCACTTGTGCTTGACTGAACTTGTATTGATCGGCCTTTAGTGCATTGATGATATCTTGAGATCTAACCGTTGGATTGCTTTCATTCCACGTGTGTTGGAAAGCTGGTTGTCTCCTCTATAACGTCTCCAAATTTGGGGATGATCAGCCGGTGAGAAGATCTTCATTGGTTGCCAAACTTTTGACGGCCTGAATTTATCCAAAACTGTAATTTTGCTCCAAAATGCACTCCAAAGTCCCAAGTTTTCTAAAAAGCTTTTTAAAACTCCAAAACATGGAAAAAACTTATAAAACCTTTAAAACTGAGTGAAAAAACCTGCATAAGATACTGAAAGTGATCCATAAAAGTGGTCAAAATCAGGTGTTATCAGTGATATGCTCGAGGTGAGGGGATAAGTTTTACCCTTAATAAAAACAAATGAAAACCGCAAGTGCACAGCTAATCAGTTGTAGTACTTAGGGATCGAATCCACAGGGATTTGTGTGCCTAGTATTTTCCTACGGTTTTTAAGTTTATGTCTAGACTAAATCGGTTTTAGGGGTTGGTTGTTTGTCACGGATTAAAGTAAAACTAGAGAAAGCAAATGAATCTATCCTAAAAAGCAAGTAGAAAATCGAATAGAAGCAAATAAAACAAGCAGAAAATCGAACTAAGGCAAATAAAATGCAGATCTAAAAGAGCAAGTAAATATCGATTGGTTTGTAAACTATGACTAAAAACGCTGGACTTTCGGGAACTCTACATGGATCATAATTGGTTTCAACACTAGGGATTTTAGATTGGGATTGACGGATATCAAAATTTAGGGTTCTAGAGCTAGAGTTCGACGGTATGACTATGTTACCGTCGTGATCATAACCAACTGTTTCTCGCAACCCTGACTCATCAGTACTCATGATTTCGTTGCAGGTAGGTTTCCACTCCAACGAAAAAATCGCTTGTTTCATTCTAGGTCGGATACTTAATGAAAACTTTCGCAACACTAACTATCTAGATCAGATACGAGGTGATCAATCAAGCATACATGCATTAAAGATGAGAATAAACAGAGAACATAGTTAAAATCCCAGATCTAAAAACCTAGATGTCTTAATCGATTATGAGAGCCCCTTTCGGAAACCCTATGCCCAACTCGGGATCTACTCAGCCATGGCTGAAGTTGACATCATCATTGGTTTTAATGAAAGCAATAAAAAACAGTAAAGAAAAGAGATGAAAGAATGCTTCTCTATTGATGAACTAAGAGTTGAACAATCTTCTCTAAAAATCGCATAAAACGACTGTCTTCGAATGTCTTCGGGGTAAATAGAATATTGTTAGATCCAACCGTTGTAATGTCTACAAACCAAGTGCCTTTTAAAGCTGGTTGAGTCTTCTATTAGTTGTCCAATTTTAAGGGTGATCAGACGGTGAGAATGTCTTCGTCTCTCTGTGAGAGTTCTTACGGTCTGAATTTATCCAAAATAGTATTTTTGTTCCAGTTTGCATTTCTTGATCCCAAATTACCTGAAAAATATTTTAAAATCCGAAAACATAGAAATCCTTTGAAAACCTTTGAAAATGGAATAAAAACACCTGCAAAATATATAAAAGTGATCCATAAAAATGGTCAAAATCCGGTGTTATCAACTCCCCCAGACTTAGACTTTTGTTTGTCCTCAAACAAAACAAAGGCCAAATCTCGGTGAGTGGTTTGAAAACGCAGGAACTAACAAAATATCAGAGACCAAAATTCTAGACTAATATCAATCATTATGCAGCAATTGGGAATAGCCTAGAAAATTCTCATAAAAAATATGGGCATAACTAGTCCGTTAATCCATCATGCGGAAATCTATTGCACTTAGATCTAACTTCCAGTCAACTAGCTCTTAACATTCATTTAAAATTTCGGTGGTTCTCATCAAAGAAAGTATAAGGAAGGCGATCTAGGCTAGGTATCAAAAGGGTCATTCTAGGGGTAAGGCCTAAAGTGTTTATGGGTTACCTGAAGATCTGGAAGATGCAAGATATTATGCAAAACCGCAAGAGATAGTGAAACTGTTGAATTCCACAGTTTCCAGTCACGTTCTTCTTGCCATAAATCTCTGGTCTTCTTCCTCAGGTTCTCTCCTAACTTTGTTTATCTTTCAAAATAATAGCTCCTTAGATGAATAGTGGTTGCCTTTTTTCTCCAAATAATTTCGACATTCTAAGACTCATTAGGATTTTTGTTTCCCTTCCTTTCATTCTCTCTCTCTCTTTTTTTTTTTTTTGAAAGAAAGGCGTAACACCTTTAGATATAGAGTCATAGAGAGCACAAAATTACCAATAAGAATGAGTTATCTGAGGCAATATAAAGCTTGATAAGGTTTCTGATACTCTTCCTCCCCAATTCCATTCAATCTTTCTCTTGAGTGACTGAAAAATGCGTCGTTTCTCTTCTCTCCGACGTTTTTACACATATCTGCTGATATAAACTAAAGAGAGAATGCATGAGGTTTGAAAAAAAGGGGTTGGGTTTAGGGTAAGGTACCAGATAAAAAAGAACTGGCCATCTAGGACGACAAAGAGTGGTAAAAATGAAGAAAAAGACGTCCTAGATGTATATCTCAATGCCTGCCTATAATCAGTGATGATAAAATTAAATATCAATATTAAGGTCAGATAAAATGAGCTAGTATATCCTGTCAGAAAGCATCTCCATGTATAGAAATTTTCTGGTGGGAGTTCGTAGTGCAAGTAATCTAGTTACCGTCTAGTCTAGTGCTAACCACAAATGAGCTATCATGTGTAGTGTAGAAGGATGCATGTCTAAATCATCATAGTTTTGTGTCAAACATTCGTGAAAAATACTAAAAGTGGCATAGGTTACATATTAAAATTTAAAAAGTGCTTGAAATTTAAAAACAAAGCAAGAAAATGATTAGTACGGATAGGCATCCTCCCCCAGACTTAAATCACACTATCCCTAGTGTGAAAAAGTTGGTGAGAAGATGGTGAATAAAAGCGAGATAGTCGAAAATAAAATA